TCTCAAATCGGCCCGATTCGTAATAATCGTCGTTTGCTTTTCAGAAGTGCACTAATTACCGTTGTTATCACTCAACTCTCCTACTTGTTTTTTGTTTACTTTTCCTCAAAAAAGTGAGGAAAAGGTGGAAGATCGGGGCGAAATCTCTTCCAGAAACGTCCTTCTTCCCTGCTGCATGTTTGTTCATATGCTTTAGTCTCCATATTTTTGGTTTTTGGCCAGGTGACATTTTATACGATAAAACATGTTGCGTCATATGTCATATCAGAAAACGGGTTTTACCACGTATTTACAAGTACCCACGTATTTTACAAGTACCCGTTTATTACATCTATTTGTACTTCTTCATATTTTTGGTTTTTGGCCAGGTGACATTTTATACGATGAAACATGTTTTGTCGTATGTCACCTCTAAAAACGGGTTTTACCACGTATTTACAACTGTTAACGTATTTTACAAATGCCCATTTTTACACCTGTTTATAAAATTCTTAGATTTGGTGAAATTTTATACGATTAAACATGTCCGGTCGAGTTTTTGAAAACCTGTCAGAACGCCTCAAAGAAATTCAGCAATGCCCTGTAGAAACGTTTACTACTATTTAGAGCGTATTACTCTGTTCGCTGTAGTTTAGACTGTCCTTCCCAAGGGCTCTTTGCTCCAGATTTTCATTATTTCCGTCCGAAGAATTAATTTTTCCAGCGTTCTTCATTCTCTTCGCTTTTTATTCACTAAGTCTCGGAGAGTCTAGTTTTACTTTGTAAACCCTCAAACTTTTCAAAGGAGATTCTTACAATAGTAATTGCGCGAGTTAAAGGGAACTTTACGGTTTTGAATGGAAAATCAAATGGTTTATTGCGAATTTTGGAGTGATCTGGAGCTTCGGCGACGTGTTTTTGCGTATTCTTTCATTCAATTGCATTTTACGCTTCGATTCGTAGTTTTGCCATTTTATACGATGAAACCTTTCCGATCCCGTTTGGGCAGGATTCATCGTATAAAATGTCACTAATTATGTATAATACGATGAAAATTGATTCCTTATCCTTTAAGGCAATTTTTAAAATTTTTTTGCGGATTTTATTTTTTCAATTTTTCATTTTTGTTCTCAAAAATTGCCCTATTTTACCTCCTTCCCATCTCAAGACCAGTTTTAAAACCATTTGTGGGCTCTCATTAAGCGCCGCGAATATTCGAACACAGTTGGATTTCCTCGAATTCCTTTCAATTTGCGGTTTAGCCAAATTTAATCAAAAATTCCCGAAAAACGCCTGCGAAATAGCCTTTTTTTTTGTATTTTTTTCATGTGTTTGGTCTATGGAACCGCCAAAAATATGTTGGATTTATCTAATTTGGCCATTCCCAGATGTATTCTAATCCAGACGGGGATGCGGACATTTTATACGATCAAACGTGTTTTTGGTCTGGGAATTCTTGGAAATTTAGACTTTTTTGGGCAAAAACGGCCTGTAGTGAATTGAAAAAAGATTGTAAATTGTAAAATACGACCTCGTCTCAGTTATCGTCTATTTTTTTGGCGATTTTTTACCTAAATTTCATCAAAATTTGGCTTTACTTTTTTATCGTATAAAATGTCCCAAAGTCTGGCAATCAAAAAAGTAATTTTTTTTGAATTACTAGCCTACGAATTAGCCCTCACACTTTCCAAAAAATTCCTTTTTTTGTCTCCAAATCCCGTTTACAGCGGCCCTCCAAATCGGATTTGCGCCTTCGAACACCTTCTTCTCTGTAATTCGGTGCCAAGAGCCATAAGAGAGACGGGGAAATCCCTTGATTAAATTTTTTTCCCCTCTCTTGCCCTCAGGCTACAGCGGACGAACAAAACTTTTCTCTTCGATTCATGGGACACAAAATGGGATAAATTTGGAGTAAAATCGGGATGTTACTGCTTTACGAAATTACTGAGTAGGTTGCAAAAAGTGTTCGAATACTTTGCTTGTCCTTTAGTCATCAAAAAATTTTTGGGTTTTTAGAAAATGTATTTTTTATGAGATATTTTTGAAAATTTCTCCAAGATTTTGCCCTAATTTTGAGCAAATCTAATTTTCACTCTAATAAATGCCTTCATATTTACCAGAAAGCCTCATAATGGCATTTTAAATCTCACTGAGCTATTTTGAGTGCAAACCTCGTATTTTTAGAAAGTCAGTTGACCCCCAAATAACAAGAAAAAACCCTACGGCCGACCCACAATAAGCCTCTTTTAGCGGGTTTTGAGGAAATGTCAGCATGTCGTGGTAATACGTCAGTGAGCGAGCAGCTTACTCGGCATTTTACGAATCATTTTATGTTACTTACCCTCCTTTTTATTTTTGCGGGTCTGGGATTTTTTACAATATGCAAAACATCTTTTTATACGATCAAACATGTTTGATCGTATAAAATGGTAAATGGCTGTAGAACCGTGTTTTATGAAAAAATTGCCATAGGAAGGTATTTTACGATTAAACCGCTTCAAATTCCACCCACTCGACCACTTTCACAACCCTCTTTTGCACGGCTAAAACGGGGAGATAAACAAAAAAGGCTTAAAATGGCCGAAAGTACTCGGAAATAGGACGTTAGTGCCGGTTGTCGCATAGAATATTCTAGCCGAGTAATCCACAAACTCTTCTTCTCGAAGGCAAATTTCAAAAACCCCCCGAAATACAGTGCGGAAACCCAAGAGAACGGCCGAGAAACGAGAGAGCGCGCGAAACGAAGAGAGCGCGCAGAGAAAGAGCGCGAGGAAAGGAGGAACGGAACGTTTCTCGAGGAGTTTTTTTCGGAAGATGTTCTTCGATAGCTTTTTCACAGCACGCCCTCAGGGCTCGGGCCTCGCCGGAGGCGAGAGAGCGCGCAAAAAGTGGAGCGCGCACCGACAGAGCGCCGGATTTCGGTGGATTTTTTTTGGGACAGTGGCTTTTTCAGTATGTTAGAGGGGTTTTATGCGTGTTCTGGGAGAGGACACAACGTGTGCTGGTCCACAGGAAGTGTCTGGAAACAGGACAGAGCCGGTGTTAGTAAGATGTCTTTAGATTAATGTCTGGTGCAAGGTGGTGTTTTGTTTGTATTTCAAAATTTGGGCGGAATTCCATGGGATTGCGTAATATTTTGGGGTCTAGAGGATAAATAGGATATTTTTAGAGCTTCACTTATTAGTGAGGAGTTATTAAGGCCTTGTTTTTATAGGGGTTTGAAAATTTCTTGTCGAGATTGACGTCTTATTTTTTATTTCTTAATATCATATGCCATGTCTGTGAAATTGGACTGGTTTTTTGGCCATGACATAGAGGAAGGCTCTAAGATCATAGCTAAGTTCGCTCATTCTCCAAAAGCTCTTGGTTTTCCCGCTAGCTCATACTAAACTTGACCATCTAAGTGATATCATGGCTAATATAAAATCAGATATTCCATAAAAACCAGCCCTTCAAACGTCCCGAATTTTCGTACAAATTGTGTATTTATATAGCTCGTGCAGCTCTGCAGGCCTCTTATCCAGCTATTTTATCTCATAAACCGGCAGCTCGCTGCCGTTTTATCACACAATTCCATCGCTTCTATTTGCATCAAAAAACATTTTTTCCACTTTTTCGCCAATGCCAAGGAGGGCCTCAAGGGGCACTGTGGGTAGTGATAATTGTCGTTATGGGAATACGTTCTTCTAACGGGATTTCCACGGGGTTTTTGCTTTGTCTGGATTCCTCACATTTCTGTGGGCGAAATTGTTTTAAATCCCGAGAATTTATGCGTCTGGCGTCGCAAAATTGCAGTATTTGGTGGTAATGGGGTGAGTAAGAGGCGATTAGGAGGGTTTGAGGTAAATTGGAGGTTATGGCGACGTTTTATACTATCAAATGTGTTTTGAATTTTTTTGAAAAAATCCGAAATTTTTCAGGATTTAATGCAATACTGAGCTTGCAGTTTGTGTACGATGGCTCTTTATGTTTATTGTATCATTAGCGATTGTCAGACTTTGATATTTTTCATAAAAACCTAAGAAAATCCCAAAAAAATCAAACAACATTTTTCATCGTATAAAATGACACCCTTATGCGCTTTGAGACTAATATCCCCATCTTGTTGTGCGATGACAAACTACCCTTTATTCTGCGGCAACAAACAATACCTCGGCACCCAATTCTCGCGTCTTAACAGCGTTTTTTGAGACTTTCCCTTTGTCCCGACAGTTGGGGCCGAAAACTCGCTCTCCCACTCTCGCCGTGGCCCATTCAAAAACCTCAATTTCATTTTTCGGAATGATATTTGACTTTTACACACTGAATTTTAAACGTAGTCCGGAGGAAATTATCTTTTATTTCCTTTCAAACTTTTTTCGTTGGACATTTGGGCTTTTTTGAAGCGAATGCCCTGAGGGGACGAAGCGTGATGGAATTTGCAGATTGCCTTAATTGAGCTGTTTGTTATCATGAGAGCGTTTTAATTGGTTTTTTAGTACGTTGCACTTCAAGTTTTAAATTTTTGCACGGAAAATCGGGTCCTGCCACGAAAACTTGGCATGATGATTTTTAGGGTTTTCCGTGATTTTTTTGATATTACCGGACTGAGAAGATGGTTTTTGTATATCGTATAAGCGATTTATCACATTTTTTTATTTTTTCGGTCCCGCCGCGAAAACTTGATTTTTCGTTTTTCCGCGATTTCACCGAAATTAATTGCATTTCCATGTAGAATATATCACAATTTTCATTTTGCAGATATCAAAGTGCCCATTGCTTTACGACCAACATATTTTTTCGACCGGTTTTCTTCTCCTCGATCTTTCTCTTTTCCCCCATCGTATCTCGACCTAATCCGGCTTTCAATTCGGCTACAACAACAGCTTCTACAACGTTTACAAGGTTCCTACGAAATCAGCTACACTTATCGTCGAACAACAACATTTTGCCAGCGTTTTTCGTTTTCCGGCCTTTTTCGTCATCAAAAATTCCATCCAATGGTCTGAAAAAAGAGATTTGGATATTCCACCAAACCCAGAATGTCTGTATTGCATCCGGACAACCCGACCACGTCGTTTGGCCGATTGCCCGACTTTGCAAATGAATCTCACGTCCCACAGCGGGTGGAGCCATGGCTCATCAGCGACGAAACCGCGCTCAGCGACGATCTCACACTCATTGACTCGATCTTGGGTAAGGAAAAGAAAGGACACGCTCTCAAAGTGCCTAGGGTCTCATCTCTAGACGTTTTGCGGCGTACGTCGACATTTTATACGATAAAAGATTTCTTGGAACATTTTATCGTATACAAGTCGCCTTAACAAAAAATTGAAATTTAACGCCAATATTTACTTAGATAACTCTTATTTATGTCATTTAAAAAATGACAGTGTTTTTCAAGACATTTTATACGATGAAAACAGTTCAAGATTGTTTGGACAGATTTTATCGTATAACATGGTAAAGTCGTTACTTTTGTGATTTTAAAAGGCCGTTTTCTACAACCCTTTAAAATAGCATGACTAAGCCATTATTTTTAGGTCTAGGTTCCCTCGGTGAGCCGACATTTGTCGACCAAACCAGCGACAATCTCTCAACCCCTTCCAATATTTTCCTCGGCGGTCGTTCCCATCAACAGCTCCGTCATTTATGCAAACAAGTCCTCGTACAGCGACTCCCCTTTGTCGGGTTTGAATTTCGCTACTGGGATTTGGCGATTCTGGTGCCGAATCTGTTGTTTTTACTGTTTTTGCTGATGAAATGCGGGAACATGCGCAGAAAGTTGAGACATACAAGTTCGCCGCTATTTCGGGGGTTTTTCTTCTTGGTAAGTGTTGAAAAATTTTGCTATGGTCAAATGCGACCTTACCTATCGTGTTTTGAGACAATTTCTAATCAATTTTATGAGTTAGGTAGAACCTTTACCATTTTATACGATTAAATATTTCCGGTTGATTAAGTACATGTTTCATCGTATAATATGGAAATTATAAAATCCAGGAAGTCAAATTACTTCGAAGTCCTGTTTACGAAAATTGTATCGCAAGGTGACACGTTATACGCTGAAAACTGCTCAAAACGTGTTAAAACACATTTCATCGTATAAACCGTCCCAATCCCAAAATATACTAAAATCTCAATTTCAGGTGTATGCGACAACAATTCTGAACATAACTCGATGTGGAACTTCGATGGCTCTCTCGGTTTCAAACCCATTTGGAGCTTTTGTTGATCAAATTCTCTGGCTGTCCTTGAAATTCCTCGTTCTAACCGCTGAATTATCGGTGTTGGCCTTTGGGCTTCTTCTGGGATCGTTGGACTCCGCCAGAAATCTTCGGAGAGCATTGTTTTTCGTTGTAGTGTTCAGTGGAATTCATTCGGCAATGCAGGCAATCTTGGAGTTCAAAGTTTGGGATGACGTAAGTTTTTCCAAAAATTTCAGCTAAAAAAATCGGCCTTGAATAACGAAAAAAACACTTGAGATTGACCTGCTCAACTGACAGCTTCATTTCGCAGATTTTAGGCGGTCAAAGTTTGTTTCAATTTTTTGAATTTCAAAATAACCGCCATAATTGGCATTCTGTTAAAGCTCTCAAAAATACGCCCAAAGCAATGAAAAAGCGATTACAGCACTTCCTTTTTCACCTGATCAACTGACATCTTCATTTTGGACATTTTAGGCTGTCAAATTTCCTTTCAATTTTTTGAATTTCAAAATTCCTGCCATAATTGGCATTCTGTCAAAGCTCTCAAAAGTGTACCCAAACCAATGAAAAATCGATTACAGCACTTCCTGATCGAGTCCTTCCGAATCTACGCGCATGGCGGTATGGGATTCTGGATGATTTCCTCCGGATTTTTCGCCATGTTGTACGCCCTGGCCTGCTGTTTCCCGCTGATCTGTTGTCGGCGCGTTTGTGCGCCCCGAAGATGCTCTTTCCATTCGTATTGCATGCTCATGGCCACGCTGAACATTGTGCAGTCGTTTGGCTCGGTGTTGATCATGTTGGATTGCCCGGATGGGATGTGTTTGGCGGATGCGACCAGCTTCTTGTACTTCACCTTCTACACCCCGTTGGTCTACTTTGTCTTCTTGCGGCGGTCCATGAAGTAAGTTAATGGTGACAAAAACGAGTTTCAAGTTTCGTATGCCATTTGATGAGTCGTATGAATGCTTATTTTACAATTTTCAGTTCGAAGAGTTTCCCGTATCGACAACATAAGAATGCGCCCAATACCGATGTCTATCAACCCCGGTTTTCTGGTAAGTTTTCGTCTAGAAAAGAAAGCGAAAGACAGATAAAGTACCACTAGATCAATTAAGCTTCCTTAAAAAGCCTAGTGATAGTGTATCAATATTTTCAGGACTGATCTCTCCATCCTACGACGACTTCTTCGACTACGACCGCATCATGCAGCAGGACAGCACGCATCTCCAAAACATTCTCCACCTCAACTACGACTTCTACCATGCAGCGCAGGATTTTCGGGACCCTTTCGGAACCGAGATCCCTCTCATGTCAAGCCGAACGCCTGATTCCACAATCACCACGCATATGGATTCTGATGGAAATATTGAACTGGGCGACAACTCAACCAGCTCCGAAAGCCGTCCCATTATTCGCCCACCAACGTTGCACAAGCACAAACAACTCAAGTAAGACTCACTCTCATGTCTTTTTCCTTCAAATTGCATACGATGAAACATTTCTGACAAGTCTGATTGTTATACGATCAAACATGTTTCGTCGTATAAAATGTCTCTTTTCGCAAATTTACACTAATTTAGATATTTTTAGACTTGGATCGGATGGACGATGGAGTTTCGACACTTCGGATCAATCGCCAGACTACTTTTCCCGCCGACGCTGGTACTAAAATACGCCTTTATGCCATGTACAAAGAAAGACCAAAAATGCCTGAACAAAGACTAACCCATACACAAACTACGAGGTTGTACAATCACAAGTTTTCTCCCAACTACATTTTTTGATCAATATAAGAGGCTTTCACTCCGCTCGGGACATTTTATACGATGAAACCTTCCGAACACCTTTTGTCGTATAAAATATCCCCGCATTGCAATTATTGGATACTTTTCTACACACTGACTGGTATATTGTGTCGGGGCATCATAATATTTGTGTCTTGTCGAGAATTTTATACGACGAAACATGTCCAATTCATAATGGACAAACTTTGTCGTTTGAAATGATCGGATTGGGGTTGCCTATCCTCTTTCTCGGATATATGGGTATCCCTGCACCTTACATTGTTGTAACACGTCATTATAACTCCCATTTTCATAGCCCATTTGTAGTGATTACTCAAAATTCCCATGGATAATATTCGAAAATCAGCACACTCGTCGTATGTACATAGAACAACATGTTGTATAGACCTTGGTAATATTATTAAAACCTTCGAAATAAACTCATCACCTATAAGATCGGCATTTGCAACCAAAAATAAAAAAAAATATAGAACTTTTTTAATTTTATTGTCGTTAACAACTAAAAACAACAAGGAAATTGCTTTACACAGGGTCCTAATTTAATCTTCATCTTTTGGGAGGATCATATCGGCCAGATCGACGACATTTTTATCACCATACGTTGGAGGTCCAATGAGTTTTTTGACGTCTTCGTATGACAAGGTTTCCTGCTTGAGGAGGGTCTTGGCTAGCTGAAGACAAATAGTGATTCATTATCCTTCATTGCTACAAAGTAATAGTGATAATCTTTTACGAACGACATTTTATGCGACAAAACATTTATGGCCGATAAAACATCTTTTATCGTATAAAATGTCACTCATTATGGATATTTCCTGATTCACCACGAAATATCCATCATAATCCCATATTATCCAAAAATTGGTATTAAAATTCATCAACGGCGACATTTTATACGACAAAAAATTTCCAACCAGGCAAACATGTTTCTTCGTATAAAATGTCTCAACCATTACCTCCTATGGCGCATAGACTACTCTTACCAAATCCAGCTTATCCTTATTGTCATTCAAGAGCTTTTCCGTCGTATAATATGCCTGTTTCACCAGTTCCCTGGCTTCCGAATCCATGATATTTCCCAACTGTTTACTGTACGGCTTCCTCTGGAACTGTTCGGAACGTTCTTGTCCTGGCTCTGAGGCAAAACTAAGTGGTCCGACCAGAGTCGAAAATCCGTATCGTTTGATCTGCGCGTAGGCTTGTTGAGTGACCTTCTCCAAGTCGTTCTGAGCACCTGTTGTGCATCTGCCAAATGTGATATTTTCAGCAGCGCGGCCTCCTAACATCATACACATTCGATCGAAAAGCTGGAAATAAAAAATCATCAATCTTACGTCATTTTCGGACATTTTATACGATGAAACATGTCCAAACTCAATTTGGCATATTCCATCGTATAAAACGGCCAATATAAAAAATATCCAAAAAATGAAACTCCTAATTTGCTCTGGCTCCAGCAGACTGATAATAACAAAAAAATTTTCAAAAACGGTGACATTTTATACGACCAAAACGTCAAATCAGATTTTATCGTATAAAATGTCGCCCAGCTATATCTAATCCAAAATTTTCGTTGTGCACGATAGTTTATAGCATATTCAATCCCCATTTCAAAAATTACGGGCATGATGCTTACCTCCTCCTTGCTATACAACTTTTTATCTCTTGGGTTGTACTGTGCGAAGCCAAGTGCGGCCGAAGTTCTGGGGATGATTGTAACTTTCAACAGTGCATCCGTGTGTTCCAGTAGCCATCCTACAAGTGCATGACCGCTTTCATGCCACGCCACGACTTCTCTTTCCTCTTGTACAAGGACCTTTGACCGTTTTTCTGGGCCAGCGATGATTTTCTGCAGAGCAAAGTCCAGATCCTCAACTTCAACCTGTTTATGCAAGCCCGTAGCGGCATGAATTGCGGCTTCATTGCAAACGTTGGCAATGTCGGCGCCGGAGAAGCCGGGGGTCATCTGTGCCAGGCGTTGGGTCAAGTGTTCCGGATGTTGTTTGTTCAATTTGATTTGCTTTAGGTACAAATCAAAGAGCTCTCTGCGTTCGATTAGAGTCGGCAGATCAACGGAGATGTGTCGATCGAAGCGGCCCGGTCTCATGAGGGCCTTATCCAAGATATCCGGTCGATTGGTGGAAGCGATCAAAATAACTCCCTGATTTGTGTCCATTCCATCCATCTCGACGAGAAGCTGATTTAGGGTCTGTTCTTCTTCTCCATTACCTCCGCCCATGCTGAAAAAATAAACATTTTGCATTAAAAATTTTTTCTGGGCAAATTTTTTTCTTCGTATAAAATGTCTCCAAATGTGAAAAAAAATTCAAAATCTGTTCCCTAAAGTCCAGTTGTATCCCAAACTTTATTTTTTCTCTACAATTTCCAAGCAACCTTCCAAAAACCCCAATTTTTTCATTAGACACCTTTCATCGTATAAAATTGTCCGAGCATCCCAAAATTCACAAAATACTTACTTGCTGTTTCCCTCGCTCCTCTTTCTTCCAATTGCATCGATCTCATCAATGTAGACAATACAAGGTGCCCTTCTTTTGGCCTCCTTGAAGAGGTCTCTTATCCTCGAGGCTCCTAAACCTCCAATCATTTCGATAAATTCGGTTCCATTCATCGAGATGAATGGCGCTGACGATTCGGCGGCCAACGCCTTGGCCAGAAGGGTCTTTCCACATCCAGGCGGACCTGAAAGTTTTCACAATCTCAGTAGGGCGACATTTTATACGATAAAACGTTTATACGCCAAAAAATCTTTAAAAAACGTCTGTAAAAGCTTCACATACCAGTCAAAAGTGCTCCTTTCGGTAGTTTCGCTCCTAGTTTCGTATATTTTTGCGGGTTCTTCAAGTAATCGACAAATTCATTGACTTCAATTTTGGCTTCATGCAGACCAGCAACATCCTTGAATTTGATCTTCAATTTGGCTTTTCCATCGGGCGCCTTTGGATCGATAATGTTGATTTTGCTCTTTGAGAACTGTTGGGTCAACTAAAAACAGAAAATTCGATCATATTAACACCAAAACGAAAAAAATTTATATTACACTAGACAAAATTTGTCTTCACAACCCCATAAATGGCTAAAAAATACCTTTTTCGGTCTCAAAATCCACTTACACTCTGTGCTGATATTTTAAAATTGGATTTCTTGACCAAAAAGTAGATTCCCAGTCCAATGGCCAACAAAACTCCGGTCACCAGGACGTTGTTGATTCCCTCTAATCTTTTGAATTCGATTTGTGTCCAATGTTCGGGCGGTAGTCCCACCGCATCCTCAATGGCTCGGACCTCTCTTTCGAAGCGGCTTAGCGATGGAATTTGGAGGCGATATGTGGGGTCCAACGGGATTCCATCCAGACCTTTGGAGCCTTGATAGAGATAAACAAAGGCCAATTCTCGCTCCGGGAATACGACTATTTTAGATACCTGGAAAGAAAAAAGGTTCTTCTGACTTCACTTTCTTGTATAAGCAGTATTTTTAACGAAGTGACATTTTATACGACAAAACATTTTTCATCGTATAAGATGTCCGCGCCTCTCTACAAACCCCTAAAATCCAAAACAATCGTCTTAAAATCGTTTTTCATGTTACTCACTTGTCCAGTGGGCATCAATTTGCTCTTAAAGTCGCTCCATGAACAGTCAGGAATGCTATTATTCTTGCTGGCATCTGGACCTTGAAGAAGAATGATCAGACCATAGATCAACAAAGAAATTGCCGCGACCTTCTTCATTCTATCAAACAGTTCCTTTCTGTCCTCGTCTTGTTCAATTTTTCTTTTGTCTTCTTCGTCGTCTCTTTTCTCGTCTTTTTGTTTCTCCGCTTCTTTCAAGTCATCGTCAGAGGTTCGCATTTTTGAAACATCGGCCTTCTTATAAGTCGCATTGGAGTCCAAGAAGTTGTCGAAGACAAAAAGGGCCAGTTTTTTCGCCAAAGGTCGGTGTTTGACTGAAAATGAGGACATCTTTCATACTCATCATCTACGCGTCTCTAAAGCAATAAACAAAAAAATTAAAGCACTTACACCGATTAATCAGCCCATCGCGAATAATTTTCATGTCCTCTGGCGTCGCTTTACCGACATTTGCTTTACGGATGGCGGCCAGTACTCGCTGCGTTTCACGTGTTTCTACTTCCATCTCTAAAATAAGGAAAAAAATAAAATTTTTCAAATAGCCATGATAGGCAAAAATGATTCCCTTGTGACAGTCTCTCGTTAATTACCATGACCAAACTCACTGTAAAGCTTTTGAAGACGAGCGAGTCTTTCCATGTCCTCTCTTGTCGCTTTGCCTTCTTTCATACGTTTCACCATTTCATTCATGTCAAACTTGTCTGAAATTTCAATATAAGCATTAGCAAACTGCCAAGTTTCTGTGGTCAAAATATTGGTCAAAGCTGTTTCATCTAGCAGGAAATACAGACGTTTTCTTGATATTATACTAGACCAAAAGACGGCTTCACAAGATCGATCAAAAAATAATTATAAAATTGAGTTAAAATTAGAGACTGTCGGCCTTTATGTTAAGAATTATCTAAACTTCAAATAAAATTAAATTAAAAGTAATTACCTTTATCCTTCTTTTTATCCGGATCATTATTTCCAGACGAACCAAGACCTCCGGAAGAAGAAGATGGAGCTGCATTTAGAGGCCGCCGATGCGAAGCAGCTCCTCCGCGACGTCCTGCATGTCTAGCTAAAACAATTGTCCTTTTATTCCATCCATAAAACGCAAACCTACCAAGAACAATCGCAAAATCACGGGCGATCTTCTCCATGAAGGCAAAGTCTCTGGTGGCGACGAACGGAGTCGACCACGTTCCCCGCGCTGCTCGTGTTATTAGTCTACTTGACCTCAGCATGGTACATTAGGAATTTACTGATGAAATAAAACGAGAAAATCCAGAAAAAATAAAAATTTTAAAATTGCACTTCGTCCAAAAAATTATCAGTTTTGACATTTCGTTTAATCCATATAAAAATCAGAAAAAAAAATTTTTTATGAATTCTGTTCCTTGAAATTTGATTGAGCCCTCTTTTTTGGCCACATGTGGCGATTTGATTTGATCGGAATTTAGTTTATTCATTTCAGGTCCTATGGACACGGGCTCTTCCAGCTTTGAGCTGGAATTCAAGGCCGTACAGGCTGAAAACAGGGATGAAAAGCAGAAGAATATCAAGGCGATTGAAGAGTTTCTGAAGGTAGGCGGGATTTATTACTTGTTGAGCTTGATGTTTAGATAAATTCTGAGGTTATCAGAGAGGAAATAATTACATGTGTAATATACTTCAATACTGTATAAAAAAACACTATGTATACGATAAGTGTCGATGAAAAAAAGCATTATGTATACGACGTATCTGATCAGACCGACTTATTTCAATATCACTAACAATCTCACCTCTGACATTATTTTAGACAGCCTTCCAAGATGTGACGAAGCTCGTTCGATTGGATGTCCAAAAGCCACAGTATGTCTCAGAGGAGGATCAAAGATGCGTCTACAAGTCTGCTTGTCGGTGTACCAAACTCAACCGGCACACTCCAATCGATGTTGTTGCGATCGCTCAAAATTTGGTCCGAAAATTGACGGATTGGTCCGGGACTGTGCGAGGAATGACCGCAACTTTGGTCATGGGCGATAAACGGTTGTTCTACGTGCCCAAGCAGTAAGTTTGAAGATTTTGAGGGTGGTATGTCTACATCTTTGGTATGTTTTGGATTTTTTTAGGTTCCAAGGAAGCGTTGATTTATACCTCGGAGCTGATGAACTTTCTTTGGGAAATGTGATTGAGCACGACAAGTACATCCACCATTGTATACTGGAAAAGGTACGTAATTTTCCTATTTGTTTCTTGGTTTAGATCCCCATCTCTTGCATGCAATCATATTTGTTTTGTGAGCTATATTCTCCATCCCTTCCAGAACGAAACAAAAGATTGGTTTGGACCCCTGTCGACGATGATCAAATACTACGAAGCGGATCCGCTGGTCCAGCCGCTGATTAAGCATCGAATCATGGTCGACTTCGAGCATGATCGTCGCCGAATGTTCGTCCGATTCCCGTCGAAAGGCATCGGACATACGGAGAAGGTGGAAGCAATAACCAAATTGGAGCTTCGTTACAGTACCATCAAGCGGATTTTTGCGCAATTCAACGGAGATCCGGAGAAACCCAAGACCACCTTGTACTTCCATTTGGACACGGTTCCAATTGTTTATCAGGTCAAGTTTGAGTTTTTCCAAAAAGGTCAACCAAATCGAAAATTGGATCCAAAAAGGAGATTGTACTCACTGGGTAAGGATTCAGCGAATGTATATGTTGTAAATAGGATATAAAAGATATCTGAAGTGTTTTTAATGGAACTTTTCATTGAAGTCAGTGTTTTTTGACGATTTCCGTCATTATTTTACATGACAAATGGGCAAAAATTTAATTTTCTGGAAGGTTGAATCTATTATATGGTTTTTTTTTTATATATGTGGCATTTTAGGGCCATTTGTGATATTACTGACTAATCCGAATTTTATTTACATCTCAAATCGGACCTTGGCACATCAACTTCGGCATGGATAATATACCTTAAATTTCAGGTGATCGACAAAAATTTTGGACCAAAAACAACTTTGACGACTATGTGGAATCACCATTCTTCAAATTGGTCCTCCATCCGGTTGAGGTGAGAATTTTTTTTGCTTTGTTTTACCCTTTAGGCCACTCGGATCATGAACATTTTGAATCGGCTGGTTGCGAGCACAACGAAGCCGATCCAGTTCCGTGACATCACCCATCATCCGAAATACCGTGGAGAGAAGGTGTTTGCGAAGAAGTTTCCACATGTCAACAACGACAGTGCCTTCCTTCAGGCCATCAAAATGGACTACCCGACCATTTATTTGCTCGAAGCGCTGGCATCCCGGGGATATCAAGTCAAGGATCGATTGCACATGGAAGTTGCCTATATGAGGGCATTCAAGGAACGAATTATCGGCCTTTTCAAGACTAATAAGAAGGTAAAATTTGAAATTTTTTTTTCATCGATGGTTTTTTGTTTTTTTTTTTTTTTTTTTTTTTTTTTGGCAAATGTTGCGTGAAAATGCAATTTTATGACTGAAAAGGTCATAAACCTTCGTGTTTTAGGGAACTGGGATGATTGGGGAAAAACGATTGAAGAAAAGTACGATTGGGTAAACCGAAAAGTACAGGGTGTACCAAATTCGTGGCCCGATTTGAATTGGCTATAACTTCTTTAATTTTGGGCCAAATTTTAAAATTCTTTTTTTCCCTGAATCCTCAGACAACCCCATTTTGTCTGATACCAAATATGTTATACATAGGTAAGTGTCATCTACAGTTATTAGATTTATTCTTGAAGTTCATTTTTTTGGTCGTTTTTCGGTTGTTTTTTCGGCCTTTCCCGGTGTGTCCGAAAATGGAATACGGTGTGGAAGAAAAAGCTTGGTCTGTGGGTTTGGTATGGCAAATACGGTTCGCCGATAAATGTTCAAAGGGAATACAGGATGAAATACGGACGTAAGGCCCAACCCAGATCGCAAGACATTTCGGCGTTGGTGGAATAAGTTCCTTGAGATTAGCAGCGTTAACAGGAAACAAAAAAAGCAGGAAAGATGGGTACGAACGTAGCTGAAAATGGAAGAAGTTTTGTCTAAATTCCTAGAAAATCCGCATATGAGTACACCAAGCTTGGCCAAAACCGAGGGAATGCCTTCAGCAAGGACCATTCGACGAACTCTTGAGGTTGATCTTCACTTTTTGTGCTTATTCTCATCGTCGATTTTCAGGAGGGGAAATTCCGCCGTATTTTTCTTCCGCACCGTACTCCATTTTCGGACACACCGGGAAAGGCCGAAAAAACAACCGAAAAACGACCAAAAAAAATGAACTTCAAGAATAAATGCAACAACTGTAGATGACACTTACCTATGTATAACATACACTGCTCCACGAAATGATAGACGCACCTTGTTTTTAGCGATTATCTTCCTTGTACTAAATGATATCGAATAATGTTCAACAGATGAAATGTGACAAATTAAACGAGAAATCATGTCCCTTAGCAATTTTGGAACAACATTTTGTCTTGACTGAGATATGACAATTTTCGACTTTTTTGGGGTCCACAAAATGATAGACGCAATTAAGTAATTTTTTGTTTATTTAAAAGAATTTTGAGTCAACCTGCTCTTATTACACTTCCTCGTGTTCTCTGTAGTATTAGAAAGGTTATTACATTTATATCCGCCGTACTTCATCGACGCAGTGGCCTTATGAGCCATTTCCGACCTTGTACATGAGGTAAATATTCGGTTTGAAAAAAAAAAATGATTAACGATTTGGCTTTCGCCAAAAAACCATCTTAAACCATCATAGATTACTAGTAGCAAATATAAGACATAAAATAAACCAATACCGATTCGCTGAAGTAATTTAATCGACCATTAAGTTACCGTATACCTTCTACAGTAACCTTCAAAGGCTCTAGAAGTACAGAAGATTACTATCGACGGCAATTTTTTTCTCAGAAAATCAAACTCAGCATGTTAACAAACCTAAAACCGCAACTTATTGCCTGCTTAAATGTCATAATGATTGATAGATGATTGATTAAAAATAAACGTGTAAAAACAAGCCTATTTTTGGTGACTTTTTTTTGTCGAACGACGTTACCGACCAAATTTATTCTGTAACGGCTGATGATTAAAACATTACGTTTTCAGGCATGCTCAGTTCGAATTTGCAAATTAAATTTTGTCATTCTCTTCATTCGCCTTGGTATTTCGGGGGTCTAAAAGTATTAAGGTAGCTACATGTTGAAGATGATATGCCAAGAAAATGCTCGGGATCCTTGAGCAAGCCGTTTTTTTTTATCAGTGAGATCTACACGTATAATGTGATAGTATTAGCTAGTTTTTCGCCCAAGAAAACAGCATAACCTACAGTTTTTTTCAAACCGAATATTTACCTCATGTACAAGGTCGGAAATGGCTCATAAGGCCACTGCGTCGATGAAGTACGGCGGATATAAATGTAATAGCCTTTCTAATACTACAGAGAACACGAGGAAGTGTAATAAGAGCAGGTTGACTCAAAATTCTTTTAAATAAACAAAAAATTACTTAATTGCGTCTATCATTTTGTGGACCCCAAAAAAGTCGAAAATTGTCATATCTCAGTCAAGACAAAATGTTGTTCCAAAATTGCTACGGGACATGATTTCTCGTTTAATTTGTCACATTTCATCTGTTGAACATTATTCGATATCATTTAGTACAAGGAAGATAATCGCTAAAAACAAGGTGCGTCTATCATTTCGTGGAGCAGTGTATTTGGTATCAGACAAAATGGGGTTGTCTGAGGATTCAGGGAAAAAAAGAATTTTAAAATTTGGGCCAAAATTAAAGAAGTTATAGCCAATTCAAATCGGGCACCGAATTTGGTACACCCTGTATTATTTTTCTTCGATGGAATTGTCGAAATTAGGCTAATCGAGGATGCTGATTTCGAAAGTGACATTCATTTTTTTGATCTTCACTTTTTTCCATGAGTAGTACTGTAAAGTTTTTTACAAGGAAAGAACTTCTATGGTGTATGGAGTTACATGTCGTGACATACGTCAAAAAATTCGCAAAATTCTTCTGATTCAGAGTATGTGAAAATTAGCTGCCTAATTTTGGTTTGTAAAGGTGAAAAACTTACAAAAACCCCTCAGAAATTTTCTTGCAACACCTCACAAATGCCCCCTTTTTTATATTGGGACTACTAATTAAGGTGCAGTATAAATTAAATTGGATATTTTATGGCTTGTCAAGGTACCATAGTTTGCGTTAGCTCAAAAACAAGCATTTGATTTGGTAGAAGCTTGGTCAAAAAGGCATTTGCGTGGTGTTGCGAGAAAAGTTCAGAGGATTTTTTCACCATTACAAATCAAAATTAGGCAGCTAATTGTCACATACTCTGAATCAGAAAAATTTTGCAAATTTTTTGATATATGTCACGACCTGTAACGCCATACCCCGTTAGACTTGGCTCTCGGGCCGGCCCGGGCCGAAAATCGCGGCGCGGCCCGAAAATTGAGAAGAAGTAAAAAACCTTAATTCGCTATTAGAAGTGAAATATTTTTCTTTACTATAACAACTAACAGTACATTTTTAAAGCAAAAAAATTACTTATCAACGCATTGCCTTTCTAAAATTAATCAAAAAATTCCCGAGATCCGTTTTCAGACTATTAAAAATTGCCCCAAGATCAATGTTATAGATTCAGCAAAGGTGGAACCACGTTTATCAAGGTTTTCAACTTCCAGATGATAGTGTTGCTTCACACGACTTCTTTATTGTGTTTTTAAGGATGTCAGTTACGTTTATTTTGAGTTTTTGTTCAAAAAATTACTAAAAACACTAATATACATTAGTACTTAATAGATTTTACTAGTAAAATTACTTATTATTAGCTATTTTTGAATACTTCCTTGCTTTATTTTTATAAAATTATGCTTACTGTGAGAAAAATATAAACCCCATTCCTAGCTTTGCGTTTTAATTTTATTGGCAGCCCAACTTTTCGCTTTGAAATTCAGAATTTTAATTTTGCCGGGCCGGCAAAATTAAATGGGCCGAAAGTTGCGGCCCGGCCCGCGGGCCGGAACAGGTCGGCCCGGCCCGGCCCGTTTCAATTTTGCTTTGGCCCGGCCCGGCCCGAACACCGGCCCGGGCCGGCCCAGCCCGGCAGCCAAGTCTATACCCCATAGAAGTACTTTCCTTGGTAATTTTTTTTCATGAATACTCTCGGGGTTTTCGATGGTGCTGATTTCGAAAATGACATTCATTTTTCTGATTTGAAAGCAGCACAATTGAAAACCCCCAAATCGAGTATTTATAAAAAAAACAAAAAATTACTACTTTAGAGTTGAACTTATGGAAAGAAGTAAAGATCAAAAAAATGAATGTCATTTTCGAAATCAGCACCCTCGATTGTCCTAATTTCGACACTTGCATCGAAGAAAAATAATGCTTTTCGGTTATTACAAGCTTTACACTAAGCTTGTAATCAAAAGGGTCGAAGGGGATCGGGAGGGGACTGGGCACCACCGATCGCTTGAGAACGCAAACACGAGATCACAACTTTATTTATTCACCGCACGGGGGAACAACCACACAAAATAATGACATAATTGGTGATAAACGATCCTTTTATATGGCTCCATTTATGCTAATTACCGTGGGAATTGTGGAGACCGTTGCGACTCCACAACATGCCCGGGGGGGGATCTGGCTGGGTCGGCGGAACTCTCCAAGACGTCGAAGCGGGGTGAGGCAGGGCAGTCGAAGTTGAGGGTCCAGTCTTGACGTTCGCTGGAGGGGCTTGCTGAGATTGAAGGGTGGCTGGGAAGGGGATCGCCCAGGGGCTTTTCCATGGGGTTGGGCGAGCGACTTCCACTGTCGCTGGTGGAGACGAGGTAGGCCTGGGGCGACGAGGGATGGCGCGGTGAGTGGGTCTCCGAGCCTGACGGTTTTCTCTTGGGGTCGCCGGCTGCGATTCGGGACCAGCCTCGAAACTCTCGATGGCGCCTTGAATCCTTTCCTCGAACAGTACGACCGGGCCCGTGAGCCGAGTTAATTCCCTTGAAGGCACGGATTGAATGACCTTGCTCAGGAACTCTTTGATTGCCTCGGGGCATTCTTCTATGAACCCGGCCAGCGATTCTCCGACCATGTCGGCGAGAGACTGTTCTTCTGACGGTGATGGGGAGGCCGACCTTTCTTTTTCCGAGTTGGCGGACTCGGATTCCAGCGAAATCTCTGGTGTGGACATCTGGAATGGCAAAATCAACTGTAGGTGTTTCGAGGGGAGCAATCAACGATAAAGGCCGCTCAAATTCTCTCTTATCCGACTCTAGGACTACTGACCGACAGAACCCATCGTGACCCAAAATAATTCTCTTGACGACCGCGGTCTTCCATGCATTTCTGTTCTTCTCTGCGTCGTTTAGTAGCAGAACTACCTGCCCCACCTTTGGGACCTCATATTTCCCGACTCGAGGTTTACCGACCGACTGAAGATATCTAAGATAAACGTCATGGAAGTTCTTCCAGAACTTCTCAATTTTCGACATCGATCGAACCCAATCACTGACAATTTGGTCTGGTCTTGGAGGGGTATAGGGGACGTACTCCGGATCCTTGTCATCCTCGGTAGCGAAGAGCGGGAAAGAATCTCGTTTTTCTGGGAACACAAGATCGACTGGCCGTAAACAGCAAGGAGTTGACGATTGAACTAGATTCGCTAAGATCGGCCGTTGATTTAAAAGAGCCCTAATTTCAGCGACCAGAGTATTAAACAATTCCGAGTTCACGGGCTTCTTAGGGAGAGATTTCCGGAGGGCTTCCTTTAAAATCCCAATCATCTTTTCATACACTCCTCCTTTCCAGGGACTATAAGGGGTTGTGAACTGCCATTTTATAGGGCCAAGGGAAGAGATTTCCTTCGAGAGTCTCTTCAAAACTTTAGCTCCGAGTTCAAAATTTTTGGCGTGATCGGAAAGAATCTCAGAAGGAAGTCCGAACGTGGCGACAAAACGACGAAAGGCCAAAACCAAAGATTGCGTTGTTCCATGTTCAACTATTTCGACATGAGTGTAACGAGTGGAGAGACAAGTGATCACCAGCAAGTACGTCTTCGAGACTACTCTATTCTGTAGTATCAAGAAAGGGCCGCAACAATCTAATCCAACAAAGGAGAATGGAAAGTTTCTCGTGACTCTGGATTTCGGTAACGCGGGGATAGGTGGCACCACGAAGGGACGAGCAAAAGCTCTTCGACACGGGTCACAGACCTTAATCAGCACACTCTTCAGGTGACGACGACCCTCCGGGAAGAACACGAATGGGCGGATGGAACTCCAGGTTGTCGTCAGGTTTGGGTGTACTCGAGAATGGAGATCCGCCAGTAGCTTCGGCAAGATCCGAGATGATTTCGAGAGGAATATCGGATGTCTCTCTGCTTCGGGGAGGTCGCTGTTTTCGAGTCTCCCTGTCACAAACCAGATTCCTCGACTTTTGGCCAGAGCAAACCGTTCGTGGTCTCTAACCGACGGTGGTTCCACCAACTGATCGAGGCGAAAAATGAAATCCTGGGCTACACTTTCTGAACAACCTAACCTTTCTCTCAAATAACGAACTGTCGCCAAAAACGAGTCGGATATTGTAAGCACTTCCGCTTGTTCTGATCGAGACAACGGAATAACCGGATCTCTATCGACCTCGATCCGCTTCAGGGGGAGACTGACCGTTTCTGATTTCGGTGCCGCTGAGACCGGAGACGGCCATGATTCCGGATGATGTAAAAAATCCGGACCGTTCCACCAGAGCTGGTGGTTGGCCAACAAATTCAAATCTGTTCCCCGAGATAAAATGTCGGCCGGGTTCTGATCTCCGGAAACATGACGAAACAAAAGACCAGGGACTTTCCGAATCGCCGCGACTCGATTACGCACGAAAACCCGATTCCGAGCCGGTTCTTGACCATCCAACCAAGCCAGCGAACACTTACTATCACTCCAGACGTTATAAGACTCAGCGGGGCGAGGGAGTTCAGACTGGATGAAAGATGCGAGTTTGGCTCCGATATCTAGTGCAAGGATCTCTAGGGTATTTACGGTCAACGGGTTATTAGGCATCGACTCTTCGGACACCTGGTGAGGTCGAGGACGGAGGGAAGGGGGGGTTAACTTGGCTTTCGACAAAATTAAAAAGCATTTAAGGGAATTACTGTCCTGTACGTACGCAGCCGCGCCCACTGCATCGAAACTTGCATCAGTGAAAACATGGATGCGGAAATTTTGGACCACTAATGGACCAAATCGGGGAATGTTCAGCCAGCGCCCATCGAACTGTTGGGTAAATTTTATCACCGTACTCTGGGAGGCTGGATTTGGTGTATCATCCCAAGAGGAAGTTTTATCCCAATTTTTTTGCAATAGAAGGTGGGCTTTGATCGAGATCGGACGAAGGACGCCTAATGGATCAAACATCTTTGCTTGCAGCGAAGAGAATTCTTTCTTTGAAGGGACATTACCAGGCCACGAGGGAATTTTGATGTAAACCAAGTCGAGAGCAGGATTCCAGTACACTCCAAGAACTTTAACGACCTCTGCTGTGTTCAACAATGACGGGTCCAGGCTATTCCGCAACCGGGCAGAGTTGGAGGTAAAATCGCGGAGGTTCATACCCCCCTTTAGGAACAGACTATGGGCCTCTTTAGCCTTTTCGATGGCCTCGTCGTCATCGACAGCCTCCAACAAAGAGTTATCAACGTAAAGATTGCGGCCAATCTCAGGGGCCAAAGGACTCGAAGACTTCCTCAAGTGGGTTTCGATGACAATGGCCAGTATGGCCGGAGAACACTTAAGACCAAATGGAAGGCGCCGAAAACGCAACAAGCAGAATCTATTTGATAAAATCTCAGATGGCGAGTCACCGAACAAGAAGCGCAAAGTATCTCTCTCCTCCTCTTGAACCCCGACCTGCAAAAAGGCCTTCTCAATGTCCGAAATTATGGCTATCTTGGAGAACAAAAATCTGATGAGAACACCCTGTAATGATGGAAGGAGGACGGGACCTCTAAAGAGAAGGTCATTGAGAGAGGGTTCGTCAATCTCATGGGCAGAACCATCGAAGACGATCCTCATTTTTGTAGCCCCGGAATCCGCAAGTTTGAATACGGCGTGATGTGAGAGGTAATAACATCGATTATGGTCCTCCACTGACCAATTCTCGACGATTTCGATGAATTCTAGCTTAAGAAGTTCGAGAATATTTTCCTTGTATTTCTGGAACTCGTCGGGAGAGAGCCGGCCTGCGAGGGAACGAACTCGTTTACGCGCTCGATCAAAACTTGGAGGAAGTCGGCCCATGTCAAGCCAAGGGAGGCGAACCCAGTATCTATTGTCGTGAAAAACCATGGAGTTAGCGACACTTGTCATAACCTGCCGATCGGTCTCTTGGAGGATCTCTTTAGGACCGAGGAAACAATCCGCGGCGTACATTCTTTCGAGTTCCTCTTCTTCGGATAAAGTCGCGACTTTATCGAGTTGTTGGAGTTCTGCAACTCTAGCACGGCGGAATTGGAGCGGCGGAGAGGACGGATCTAGGAATCCCTGCCCCACTACGAAGTCACCAAAGCGCGATGTCATCACTCTATAACCCTCAGGAGTTACATGGTTAGATCGTTGGATATTGAGTTCTGAAAAGGCATCTTGTCCCAGCACAATGCTGATGGGTTGGCTGCCTGGAGAGACGCTCCGAGCTTGTAATCAAAAGGGTCGCCCCTTTTGATTACAAGCTTAGTGTGGCGTAGGATCAAATGTAGAGATAGGTAGAGGTAATGGATAGACACACGTTAGAATTAGGTTTATTGCAACCGCACACAGGGAAAAGAGAAATGGGATTAATTCTGATCATAATTGGTGACGAGACGTTGCTTTTATATGAATTGGTTTATGCTAATTTCTGTGGGAATTGTGGAGACGTTTGACGCTCCACAACATGTCCGGCTCTTCCTTCTGGGTCGGGTTGGCATGGGGCAGGTACCAGTTGAACTTCGCAGGGCACTTCCAGGGAACTTTGGGGCTCTTGGTAAGTTCATAATCGAGGGAAAGTTCGTGTTCCTTTGGTTTGTACTTGCATTTAATTCGACGATTCATAGGCAAATCACTTTGTGGCAGGTTACGAGGGACCATCGTACACGGGTTCGAGTGGGAAACCGAAATGTATTTGAGGTTTGGACCTCGATTAGGCTTCTGCAATAGACTATTGCCCCACGGCAATACATGCCCAACCTCCACGGCGGGTTCACAATGAGTGGAAAGCGGCAGAGAGTTCACAATAGGATCCGGTGACTTTCGAAGTGGATGACTATACGAGTTCACAACGTCAGCAGCATTTTCCACTGGAGAAATAATTTTTGGAGCCACAGATTTCTTTTTCTTTCTATTCGCAAAAAATGTGGATTTTCGAATCCGGCAAAAATCGATCGGGTAGTCTGAACACCATTCGTCCGAGTTTTCCGAGACAAGAAAATGACCAAAGCGACAAGACATGACTCGAAGTCCATCTGGGGTAACGTGGTTCGAAGATTGTATTTCCAATTTTGCGAGGCAATCTTGCCCGAGAACAATACGAATCGGCACTTGACCAGAGTCAGCCGGCTGGCCCATGAAAAACTCGTGGAGATTTTCAATTGCGAGAACACGGAATGCAACAGGTGGACCAGATTTGGGAACAATAGACACCGATGTCTTGAATGTTTGGATCGATTGGACATTTCCACCAACGGGAATCACTGTGCGGATAATCGGAGAATCGAGAGGTAATTGGAGGGAACGACAGAATCCAAGGTCAACAAAAGAAACCTGAGAGCCCGTATCGATAAAAGCTTTCACGGGATCACGAAATCCGCTCACTGTCACCATTGGGGACATAACTTCCTCATTTTGGGGCAAGGAAACCGTTCTCATCTGAACTGATGGTCCATTAGTTGGTTGAACCGCCGGAGGATTAGATGGAGGAAAGCTGGAAGCCCGAGGAGTCTCAAGATTATTCGGGAATGTCGAGGATAACGGAGGAGACGAGTGGGTCGACTGACCAAAGAAAGACCGATGGGGTTGGTTAAAGTTAAAGTTCGAAGAAGGGAAAGCCTGAGAACAAATCGAAATGTGATGATCACCTTGGCACTGACTACACATTGGAGAACGACACTGTGAGGACACATGACTTCGACAAAGACAACGAGCACATAAATTCTTCTCACGAATCACCTGTTGTCTCCTGGAATGATCTGATACTGTTCGGCAATCCTTTGAACGATGGCTTCGATCACAAAATGCACACCTCTCTCGATGAAAATTCGAAGTATTGGATAACTGTGGCGAGCGAAAGTGAGAATCCTTGTCCCGACTCAATGAGAACCTTTCACGCGAACGGATGATACTGTCAAGGTAGGATAGGATGTCATCTACAGTAGGCACAATAGCCGAATGCTCAAAATGCAGCTCAATAGATCGATGGATATCTTCAGGAAGCGACTCGAGAACATGGGAGATGAACAACTCATTCTCTGACAAGAGACCTGGAGAGTGGACATTCGAGAGAGAAGGCGAGGAAACGAGAGAATCACGCATGATCATGAGTCGATAGTACCAGTCCTTCAATTCAGCTTGAGTACGAGGAACAGAGTACTTCTTGTCTTTCAATTCCTTTAGGAGACGTTGATAATGAGCTCGTTTGTCTCCATAGCGTCTCTGAAGAGCGTTCAGAATAAGGCGCAGACTTCCTTCAACGATCGGAATCGCCTGAATCATCTCAAGAGGCTCGCCGGCCAAAAGAGACAAGACAAAGGTTATTTTGCTCATTTCCGAGTAGTGAGAGTTGCTATCTAAGGCATTCGTCAAAACGCCGAAAAACTGGGAAAATTCCTCAGGTTTACCAGAAAATTTGTTGATCCGAATCTTATGGAGATCGAGGAAAGTGGATCGAGGGGACACTGGAGACGAGGATACCGGATTCAAGTTACCTAATTGAGGAGAAGCGAGAAAACTAGATCTGGACTGACTATTCTGCAATTCAACCCTAGCACATGCTTCTTGACATCGTTGGATAGCGTCCATGGAACTCTCAATCCAATAACCGAGCATCTCACTAACCAAAGAACACGACAAAGAATCCACATAAAGTTGAGCAGTGGCGGAGGGGACCTGGTGAGAAAGTTCTAGATCCTCTAGATCATACAACGCAGTCCGGAAGTCGGTTTCAACAGTCTTTAGGGACTCCAAGATCTCACTGAACAGCTTCAGGGTAAACGATGGAATATCCGAGAGGTCGGTCAGGCGAATCAACGGATTTTCTAAACGACTGAGTATACGAGCGAAGTCGAAGGTGATCAAGGTGTAGATAGTGCGGCACACGGCTTTAATCTCTCGATATGTGGTTGGATCGTTGACAAATGTTGCGAATAAGGTCGCAATCTGCCGGTTGTTCTCGGGGGTCGGACGGAACCCGGAGATGATGGCACGATGACGAGCGTGCTCTTCTAAAGAACATCGAGGTGCAGCTGCGATATCGGCCGGGTTCAAAAGGGTAACGGTGGAAGCCGAAGACAGGTGAGAATGATTCTCAACCGCGTCCGGATGCTCAGCCATGACGAAAACGAATCTAACGACAAGAGACCAAGAGGAACACAGATAAAGGTGGGGATCTAACCCAAGATGCGGGGATTTAACCCAAAAAAAGGCGGGGATCTAACCCGAATGAAGGGGATTTAACCCAGGAAAAGGCGGGGATCTAACCCGAACGGAGGGGATTTAACCCAGGAAAAGGCGGGGATCTAACCCGAAAATATACAACACGGAGGGAACTATTGCCCTAACACAAAGAGAACACACAATTTGTACGATAATGATCGTACCGAGCCACTAAGTAGGAATCTAAAGACAGACACTGGTGTGGCTAGTACCAGTGGTAACAAAAAATGCGATTGAACAATACCTGTAATTGCTCCAATACAAACGGTTCTCCGGGATCTTCCTACACCAGCGCAGCCCCCATGTGGCGTAGGATCAAATGTAGAGATAGGTAGAGGTAATGGATAGACACACGTTAGAATTAGGTTTATTGCAACCGCACACAGGGAAAAGAGAAATGGGATTAATTCTGATCATAATTGGTGACGAGACGTTGCTTTTATATGAATTGGTTTATGCTAATTTCTGTGGGAATTGTGGAGACGTTTGACGCTCCACAACAGTGCTGATTTCGAAAATGACATTCATTTTTCTGATTTGAAAGCAGCACAATTGAAAACCCCCAAATCGAGTATTTATAAAAAAAACAAAAAATTACTACTTTAGAGTTGAACTTATGGAAAGAAGTAAAGATCAAAAAAATGAATGTCATTTTCGAAATCAGCACCCTCGATTGTCCTAATTTCGACACTTGCATCGAAGAAAAATAATGCTTTTCGGTTTCCCCAATCGTCTTTTTCCTCAATCGTTTTTCCCCCCAATCGTCCCAGTTCCCTAAAACACGAAGGTTTATGACCTTTTCAGTCATAAACTTTCAATCGTCCAACGCCATTGTTTTAGTTATTGCTCGACTCCTTGGAGAAGTTGTTGGCGATGGTTGATGAATCCATGGAGCTGGACCCTATCCCCCAAATGTTCGAACTGGCCATAAAAAAGGCCCAGGAGGGACTCCATGTCTCGGCAGACGTCGATGAAGAGCAAAAGCTGAAGGGATACGTCCGACTGCGGAAGATTATCATCACTCCGTGCAGAACAATTTATCAGGCGCCGGAAATGATCATGGGAAATCGAGTCCTCCGAATCAACGAAGAGAAATATCCGGCCGAGAAGTTCCTCCGAGTCGCCTTCAGGGATGAGAATTTGTCCCGAGTCCAGAGTGCCATGGGACTGTCATTCATCGAAGGCTTTATCAAGAAGAGTTTGACTGAAGGGAAATTTATTGGAGGCAAGAATTTGAGTTTTATGAGGCTGAATTTTGAGGAATTTTTGGAGGCTGGGAAAAAGGTGTACAATGGGGCCTGATCTAGAGGCAAAAAATGTACCATTTGGCATCCGGGAAGTATCAAAAAAGTGGCAAAATGCCTCCCTTTCCAAGTGAAAAAAGGGGGTATTTTGCCACATTTCTTGATACTTCCCAGATGCAAAATGGTACGTTCTTTGCCGCTAGATTAGGTCCCTCACTGTATGTAAATTGTATTTTGTATTTTCAGCCAAAGTCTTCAATTATCTCGGCTCGTCCAACTCCCAGATGCGAGAACAGGGATGCTACTTCATCCAAGCCGAAGATGAAAAGGAAATCAATCTTTTTCGAAGTGAATTGGGCCAATTCGAATTAAAGAGTGTACCCAAAATGATGGCTCGTCTTGGACAGTGCTTCACTCAGTCTTGCGTAAGAATCGTGATTAAAATTTGGGTAAAATTGACGTTTTATACGATCAAACCTGTTTGAGAATTTTTCGCGCAGGCTTTGTCGTATAAAATGTGACGGGAATGTAAAAGGATTAAAATCATTTTTATGACATTTTGAAGGTTACCACCAATTTTTTTTTATTGTTGACATTTTATACGATGAAATATGCTGAGAATATTTAATCGTATAAAATGTCACCCACGATATCATAAGTGTTTGCGATGACGGAATATCTTTTCAGAAGGTCGGAAAAGAGATGCCAAGAGAGAAGTACGATCGAACATACGACTATGTCGGCATCAACAATCGTAAAAAGGACCCACCGGAACCTTTCGTATATTCGGATGGAAATGGCTACATGAGCTTGGCATTTGCTCAAGACATCTCCAAATTTCTGAAGTACCAGGACTTTGTACCATGCTGCTTCCAATCCAGATTCCGTGGCTTCAAAGGAATCCATGTTGTGAATCCAGAACTGGATCGGCTGAATGCTTGGGCCGCCGAAAATGGATTGTTGGATGGGAAAAAGAAGGGCGAAGCTTTCGGCCTGGATCTCCTTTGTCGGCCATCTCAAGAGAAGTTCAGAACCGGAAAGGTAGGGAGATTTGATTACCGGAAGACATTTTATACGATGAAGGATGTTTGAACATGCTTTGTCGTATAAAATGTCACCCAGAAGAACTGTGTTTGTCAAAGAAGCGGGAATGTGGTTTTTGAAGTGAATAGAATGTATTTATATTTATATTTGCATGATTTTTGGTTAGACGACATTTTATACGATGAAAGATGTATTGAATTCTTGAGAAAGGATTCATCATATAACATGTCCAGATGAATAAAAATTACCTTGTTTTAGGACAAATGCTACTATGAGGTGGTCAAAATCTCCGCCCCATCCCCGGTGTGCCTGAACCGGCCCTTCATCAACATCCTGGACCAGGTCAGCGCCATGCAGTCCTATCAATGCCACAAACAAGTTGTGAACAGGTGCTTTCAACTATTGGATATTCAACTGAATGGGATTGCGAACTCGCTGACCGATGAGAAATGGGCCCGCACTAAATTGGGCGAATTCCCAAGGCTGATCATGTTTGATGTGATGAGGAATGTGAATCTGACCACAGAACCTTTCTTCCGAGCTCTATTGAGGACTTCGGCCAGATGCACCCTCAAGAAGCTTCGAGAAAAGATGCAGATCCAAATCCCGCCTTCATTGGGACGGTCTTTGCTTGGGGTGGTCGATGAGACTGGACAGCTACAATATGGCCAAGTTTTTGTGAAATACACGGTGAATATCATGCAGAAGAGGCCTGGCCCTGGAGCCGCCAGAGAGGTTCTGACAGGTAGGCAATTTTTTGGAAGGGGTTGAGGGATAATGGAACTGGGACGATCGGGGAAACCGAAAAGTATTATTTTTCTTCGATGCAAGTGTCAAAATTAATCGAGGGTGCTGATTTCGAAAGTGACATTCATTTTTTTCATCTTTTTTCCTCAAGTAGTACTGTAAAGTAGTAATTTTTTGAATTTTTTTATGAATACTCGATTTGGGGGTGGGGGGGGGGCTTCAACCTTGCTGATTTCGAAAATGTTATTTATTTTTTCTGATTGCTTTTTATCACGAAAAAAATTAAAAAAATTACTACTTTACAGTACAACTTAAGGAAAAAAAGTAAAGACCAAAAAAAATGAATGTCATTTTCGAAATCAGCACCCTGAATTATCCTGATTTCGGCACTTGCATTGAAGAGAAATAATAGTTTTCGGTTTCCAGAATCGTCCAGCTTCGAGGGGTCATATGGCAATTTTTTCTTAGTTTTCTTCAGTTTTTTTGGCACTGTTATGGGTGGTATTGGAGCTGGGAATGTGTTAAAAAATAAAAAAATATTATTGTTATGATTTTTATAAACTTTCTTTTCACTTTTTCCATTTTTTCGTTCAGGCCCCGTCCTCATCACCAAGAACCCCATGGTGGTCGCCGGAGACGTCCGCATGTTCACCGCCGTCGACATCCCCGCCCTCCACCACCTCTGCGATGTGGTCGTGTTCCCTCGGCACGGCCCCCGACCCCATCCCGACGAAATGGCGGGCTCCGATTTGGACGGCGACGAGTACAGTGTGATCTGGGACCCCGGCCTCTACTTGGAGCGCAACGAAGACGCCTTTGATTATACCGCTCCGCCAGTGAACCCCGAAGAAGTTGATGAGGAAAAAATGGTAAGCGTAATGTGTGATTGAAGGGACATTTTATACGATTAAATGTGTCTGAAATTATTTTGGACATCTTTCGTCGTATAAAATGTCTCCGAGTGAGGCTTGGAGGTTGAGATAGTAGTACCGAGAGAAAGATTGTGGAAAGTTGAAAGTTTTTTATTATATCGTCCAGAAAGTTCGTTCGTTTTTTTTTCTATTTCTTTGTTTTACAAGGAAAAAATAGATGGTTCACTTCTGAGCCCGAAAAATAATGAAAAATTAAAGTTTCAAAAAAAACTAAAAACACAGTTTTGTAGAGGAGAAAAAGCTTTATCAAAGAAATATATTCCCTTCGCCAAAGAACAAACAATCCTTGTAAAACGAAGCGTTGAAAAAAAACACACGAACTTTCTGGACGACCAATAATTCATGTTGGATTTAATTTTTAGCGCGAACAAATGGCCGACTTTTTCGTGAAATACGTGAGTCAAGATTCGATTGGAAAGATCGCCAATGCGTTCCTGGTGAAGGCCGACCAGCTGGGCCTGAACAGCAAAGTCTGTCACAACATTGCCGTCAAGAATATGGAAGCTGTGGACTTCCCCAAAACCGGCAAACCGCCAAGTCCTCTCGCCAAAGGCGATCCGGTCAGAAAAATTGATTCGGAAAAGGCAACTCGGTTTCCGGATTTCATGGAGAAGACTCAAGAATCCTCGTATGAAAGCCCAAGACTTAATGGAAGACTTTTCAGGTAAAAAATTGAATTTTTTGTCTTGATCTGATGGAAATGTGACGATTGGGGAAATCGAAAATCATTATTTTTTTCAATGCAAGTGTGAGATTAGGATAATCGAGGGTGCTGATTTCGAAAATGACTTTCATTTTTTTGGTCTTTACTTTTTTCCTTAAGTAGTACTGTAAAGTAGTAATTTTTTGAATTTTTTTTTGTGAATACTCGATTTGAGGGTTTACGGTGCACGGCAACCCGAAATAGAAGAAAAATGTTTCCCGCCCACTTTTGAGTTTCGTCCAAACGAAGTGTCAAAATTGACAAAAGAAATAAAATAATTCCGAGAAAAATATTTTTCGGTCGCAAAATCCCACGAAAAATTCTTTTGTGACATTTTGTTTGATTTCAACCGATACAAAATGGGCGAAGTGTCGAAAGGAGCCAGGAAACACTTCGGGTTGCCGTGCGGTGGTGCTGCTTTCAAATCAGAAAAAATGAATATGATTTTCGAAATCAGCACCATCGAAAACCCCCAAATCGAGTATTCATGAAAAAAAACAAAATTTTAAAAATTACTACTTTACAGTACTACTTAAGGAAAAAAGTAAAAATCAAAAAAATGAATGTTATTTTCGAAATCATCACCCTCGATTATCCTAATTTCACACTTGCATCGAAGAAAAATAATAATTTTCGTTTTCCCCAATCGTCCAACTCCGGATTTGATAGGGATGTAAGGGTAATATAAATTTTTGTTATGGAGAAGGCAATTTTGATTTTTTTTTTGAACTTCAGAAGAATCAAAGCTATCGACAATGAGCTGGAGACCACCATCGACGAGCAGGTCAACTCCTCAGTCCAGCTGGACCCCACAATCTTCGTCGAAGGCTACAACGAACCGCAGTACATGGAGATTGCGAAAGATCACTTCCGCAAATACGTCGCCTCCATGGAACATCAACTCCTGCAAAGATTCGGCGTCGACACCGAAGTGGAGCTCTTTTCCAACTCCTATTCCGCGATCCGGAAGCGGATCAGCGACAAGGAAATGGACGATATGAGTTTCTTCAACACCCAGCGCGTCATTGAAGAGACGCTGGAACAGATCTACTCCAGTCATCGTCGAATGTTCTTCGAAGCATTCGGCCAGAAATTTGAAGATCTCACCGAGACCAAGTTTGAGAATGAGACCAGAGAAGTGTCGGATAAACGCCATGTCCTCAGAGATCAGTGCCGCAACCCCCCAGAGGAGTTGAAGAAACTGGCTGTGGCGTATTACTACACTGCATATGGTAAGGAATTTTGCTTCGAAATGATTTACAAGAGCATGGAGGGTAGTATGGGATGATTTGGAAATTGATTTTCCGATATGGGGACATTTTATACGATCAAACAGTTTCATTGTATAAGATGTCACAAATGTCTAGTATAAGATCAAAGTGGTTGGCAAGAGTGTGGAGGGTAGTATGGCCATATGGGAGTTTGATTTTACAACATGGGGACATTTTATATGATCAAACAGTTTCATCGTATAAGATGTCACAAATGTCTAGTATAAGATAAAAATGGTTTGTATGAGTGTGGAGGGTAGTATGGGATGACTTGGAATTTGATTTTCCGATATAGGGACATTTTATACGATCAAACAATTTTTATCGTATAAGATGTCACAAATGTCTAGTATAAGGTCAAAATGGTTGGTAAGAATGTGGAGGGTAGTATGGTCATACAGGAATTTGATTTTCCAATATGGGGACATTTTATACGATCAAACAGTTTCATCGTATAAAATGTCACAAATGTCTTCTGTAAAGAATAGAAGTTTGTTAAATAAAAATTGCTGGTTTGGTCAAGCGGATTGCTTACTTATTCACCGTTTTTATGAGATAAATGATATAAATTTTTCTATTTTTCAGACGCCGGCCACCAACGCTTTCTCTCATTTGCCTGGCTCTGCGCGGATGTCATCGCTCGAGTCAGACTCGACTATATAACCGAATTGAGACGTCAAAACCCCAATCAAGAAATCTATTACTACTCGTTCGACCCGGTTTCGGATCGTTTGTCAACCCACATTGATGATTATTTGAACTCGAAGTCGAGCCGAAGGGGTGCTCTGGCTCGATTTTTGGAGGCCAACATCAAGAAGTATCGAACGAAAGAGGCCACGAAATTGATCTTTAAGTACTGTGAGGTAAGCGGGGCGTCGATTTTATATTGTAGAACTTTTTTTTGAAAATTTTGATATTCTCGTAATTTATTGTCTATTTGGCCTAATATTGTATTTACAGGTCTACGATGGACTCATGGATTTGATGACATTCACTGTGAAGTGGGCCGAGAAGAACGGGATCCTCGTCGGGACCGGAGAACGGAAGGAGAGGGATCTGATGGACGTCGAGCAGGTCGGTGTGCCCGTTTTCAACTCGATTCACATGTGTTTGATGATCATTTTGTTCGGTCAAGGAAAGCTGGACACCATCAATACACCACGATCCTTTGAAGAGGTAGGATTTTCACATAATGGACATTTTATGCGATGAAACATGTTTGGTCGTATAACATGTCGCTTGATTGAAATTTGTGGAGGGTTGGCTGGTTTCGTATGCCCCGAGGCATGACTACTAAATTTCTAGGTTTTTTATGTTGTAGATTATTTTGGAGACATTTGATACGACGGAACATGTTTCATTGTATAACATGTCGTCTGATTCAAATTTTTGGAACCTTTACTGGTTTCGTAAGCCCCGGGGCATGACAACTTAATTTCTGGGGTTTTTTATGTTGTGAAGTGTTTTGGAGACATTTTATACGATGAAACATGTTTCGTCATATAACATGTCGACGAGTCAAAATTTTGAAAATTTTAGTTATATACATGGTAAGAGTAGAAGAAAGATGGATAAAAATTTGACGAGCTTTTATATTATGAATTATGAATGAATTTTTCAGCCTGAAGACCTTGAAGGCATGGATCCAGTTGACCTGAGGAAGCAACACGGAGGACTTGGCCAAAGATTTCTTGGTCTTATGAGATTTATGGCTTCTCGAGACTTTCTAATGCTTAAAGAATTGTCTTTCCTCGATTTTGGATATGTCTCCGGATTCTACAACAATGAATGGTTCTACGCGCAAAAGGTGAGCTTTAAAAAGCGAAAGATTTATCAGTTTTTAGGCGGCTGAAAAGACTTATTACAAGATTTGCCTGACCAACGACTACTCAGCCATCCCATACGACAAGGACAAGCAGAAGGTAACGGATATTGTGGAGAAGGTGGACATCGAAGGAAGAGTGGCGTCAGATGGAATCTCATTTTTGGTCGAACTTCTGAAAGGCACAGCGAACCAAGTGATGAACAAGAAGAATGTGAGGGCACTTGAGGATCACTCAGGATGCGAGTCCATCTTTTGGAGACAGGATTTTGCCAATTCCGATGATTGTAGGTGGAGTTTTGCGCAATTGGATGTGTTATACGCTGAAACATGTTTGATCGTATAACATGTCGGCGAGTCAAATTTTTAAAAATCTTAAGTCATAAATGACAGGAATAGAAAAAAGATGGATACATTTTGACGGTTTTTTATATTATGAAAAATGGTGGAGACATTTTATACGCTGAAACATGTTTGATCGTATAACATGTCGGCAAGTCAAATTTTTGCAAAATCTCAAGTTTTAAATGGCATGAAAAGAAGAAAGATGGATGCAATTTTTGCGAGGTTTTATAGTATGGGTAATGATGAAGACATTTTATACGCTGAAACATGTTTGATCGTATAAATTGTCGGCTTACTTTGATTTTTGAATTAATACATGTTACTTTTAGGCCTAACTGATCGTATCTACGTGACTGCCGTGGGAACTGTGACTGCCGTCAACCGTCTTCGTCGCTATCTGACGCCCAAGGGATACCTGAACAGCCGGATGTCGGATCTGAGCATGGGGAAATCGTTCGCTTCCCAGGTCATGAACAAGATTTACCAATTGACGAGAAAAGAAGAGAAGGTTGAATTGATCGAAGAAAAGGTTGAAGAAGACACCCCAGTGCGAGCTGCCCCCAGAATCAAGGCCTACACCGATGAAAATGGCCATATTGTGGTGACAAAGCCGGGTACCTCCAAAGATTAGAGAGAAAGGAGATGATTTCGTCTTGATTTTTTTTGTTATGATTGTTTGTCATTCTTTTTAACTTGCAGTATTTTTTTTTTAATTTTACGGGTTTTGTTTGTGTTTTTTGGTCTGTTTTTGACGGGTTGGAAGTGTCATTTCACATTTGTTTTTTTTTTTTGTTTTATTTATTGGGATTATGAATATCTCGTGTGTATAATTGCTAAAATAAATCATGGTGCTGTAAGTCGGAGATTTTTTAGAATTTCAATTTGGGTTAAATTTTTGGTAAATTGTGCGATTTTGAAAAGAAAAAATTAATTTTGTAATTTTTTTGGCCTGTAAAATTGATGATGAACTGTGCCTGGAACCATGTACAAGGGGCGACCTAATCCAGTTGCAAAAAACGTACTATTTCGCATCCAGGAAGCATCAAAAAATGTGGCAAAATACCTCCCTCTCCAAGTGAAAAAACTCCGATTTCAAAAGCGCGCCCGCTCTTTGTGAGGAAAACCTTCAAAACAAAGTTTTTTCATTTGAAGAGTGAAGCATTTTGCCACATTTTTGATACTTCCCGGATGCAAAATGGTACGTTTTTTGCCACTGGATCAGGTCCCCCACTGTGATTGAAATTTTTCCTGACCTCTCCTTTATTAATACCTCTTTTTTTACTAAAGGCTGTCCATTTACTCCGGGAAAAGGACCAGGCGAAGCGATTGATAAAATCATTACATTTTTTCTTAACTAAATAGTTACAATCAATTTTCGCGCCGGTTCGCTCTTTGTGAGGGATTTTCGGTGGAGAGGGAACATTTTGCCACACTTTTGATACTTCCCGGATGCAAAATGATACGTTTTTTTACCACTGGATCAGGTCCGTCACTGTAACAGAGCATGCAAATTCAAGTCCGAATTTGGTTGTTCAACTGATACCTAAACAATACAGCTTTACAATCAGCAACTAATATAAATGTATAACATTGGTGGGAACATAAAATAAACGCAAAAGTTCTTGTCAATTTTTTGTGTAAATGCGAAAAAATCACATTCTTATCGCATTTCTTCCAACTTTTCCTACGAATAAAACTCGCATCTCATTGGACATCAATTTTTTTCAGCTCCTTGAATTTTTTCGTTGCCGCCGTTCAAAGACCTCGACCATCTCTCGAGACGTTTTTTGCGGAAGATTTATATCGAAGGAAAGCGGTTGGGGTGAGACATATGGCCTGAAAAGTCATTTCGAATATAAAAATAAATTCTCAGAGGGTCTTGGGATTAAAACATCCAAATATTCGTTCTTTTCGGTTTAATTGAGTTTCGTGTTTGGGTTTGGATTGCACCGGGTTTTCGTTGTTTTAAACGGTGGAAGGTGGGAGGGGCTGTACCGCAATGACGGTAACGTTCTATATTCGGTATGTTCAGAATACCTTTTTTTACAGTTGGAGAAAGCCAACAGTCAAAAGAAATTAAGGCCCTGCCACGAATGCAGTTTTTTGTCTAAACACGTAATAAATTGTTTCTTCCATTCAGTAGCCTAAAATTAATTTTCAGTCTATTATTTTCCATTTTTTTGCTGACTTCACGTCTTTTTATACTATATTTTCTGCCATTTACACGCAGTGGGATTCGAACCTGGGTCGTCAGATTGGTTGTTCCGGCGCACAACCGCTATACTATGACGCTTTTTTTCAATATATTTGACATGCATCCGAAGCCGAATTCTTCAGTGGGGGGACCCGATTCAGTGGCAAAAAACGTACCATTTTGACTCCGGGAAGGACCAAAAATGTGGCAAAATACCTCCCTCCCCATGTGAAAAGACTTCGTTTTGAAGGGCGCGCCCTTTTTCCTCACAAAAAGAGCGGGCGCGATTTTGAAATCTGAGTTTTTTCACTTGGAGAAGGAGATATCTTGCCGCATTTTTTGATGCTTCCTGGATGCAAAATGGTACGTTTTTTGCCACTACTCCACTGTATGCTGAAATTCTGCAAATAAAATCCTGTGACAGCCGTTGTTACAACTACCTCGCATCAAATAATGCAATCATAAAATGACAGCATAACCAAAAAGGAAAAAAGGCATACGGCCAAACTAATCGAATATTGATGCCTCCAAACTTGCAAAAAATTGTTGACGACATTCCGAAAAGCGCTACCATTAAAGCTCATTTACTACAGGGTGCGGCAATTTTTCGGCCGGATTTGAATTGGCTATAACTTTTTTAGTTTTTATCCGAATGTTAAAATTCTTTTTTTCCCTGAATCCTCAGACAACCCCATTTTGTTTGATACCAAAAACGTTATATATACAGGGACCTAGTTCATAGTTATTGGCCTTTCGGTCGTTTTCTCTGCTTTTTCGGCGTGTGTGAAAATCGCCAGAAAAAATTACTTTCTTTTATGAATTTTGTCGTAAAAAGTTTCATGCCTGTTCATGCCATGGAGAATACAGTTTCCACAAAAAATCAGCTATCTCCGCACAAAACTAGGGAAGATAGAGCCAAAAAGTTTTTCTGTGTGACCACTCATGTGCCCTCCTGACAGCAAAGAATCGTTCAATATCTTGGTCGCCCCTGAAAGGTGCGGGCTGAAACTTTCAGGAATTGATGTGTGGCCTATGTCCGGCCCATGTGCAAAATTTAAAGAAAATCTGAGAGTCGCACTAGGGGTAATTCCATTGTCAGCAATGAAAATTAGAGCTTTTTCTTTGTCTCGTATTTTTACTGTAGTCTAACGAACGGGTATAACATATTTGGTATTAAACAAAATGGGGTTGTCTATGGATTCAGGGAAAAAAAGAATTTTAACATTTTCCCAAAAACTAAAAAAGTTATGGCCAATTAAAATCCGGCGGAAAAATTGCCGCACCCTGTATTTATATACGCATCCCGGCAAAACAGGGATAATGTTGAGTAGGTGGGCGATAATCTCGAGTATTGTTTTGGGGATTTGCCGCGGGATAATGTGTGCCCTAGAGAGAGGCTTAGCCAAATTTAACGCTGGTAGCTTGTTTACTGATCTTGGTGACATCACTTGTCTTGTGCATAAGATTTGATGGATTAGGAGCGATTTGAAACAGATCTACCTAACTCTAGACATTATTTGTAAGCGTCAAGTCTACTTTGGTAAAATAGCTGGCTATGTAAAGACAAAACAGCGTTGAAATGTTATCTAAAAGTCAAAAAAATATTGCCGCTAAAAAACTGACACATATATATTATGACCATCGAAGAACAGAAATATGTGGCTTACAGTGAATATTTCACATTGAAAACTTACAGGGTCCTCGAATTTCACAATTTCCTGTATTTTCCGCGGCTTGCAACAGAATGCCAAGGATTTCTGAATTTGGCGGGAAGTTCAAATTTCTATTTTTAAATCAACCCAAAACATAAAAAGTACTTTTAAACAGCGTTCCCATTGAGTTTCCATAAATTTTCATTACAATTTGTAGGCCAAAAGTATCTTCTATTCTCGGCGATGACCTTTACTTCTCGTTTCTTGAACTTTCCATTTCTCTCCCCGCTGAAGGCCCCAATTTGGCATGTTTTCGCTGAAATCAGATATATTTATTATCACATTTCCTTCGTATCACGTGTCTAGGATTACGTTCGTTTGCTTCTTTGTTTTTGTTCATTTTTCATTCCAAAGAATGTTCCCATGGGGAGAAGGGTTCAGGGACAACACGGCCCGTCCAAGGGACGTTATTGGCAGCAAAGTATAAGCGGGTTACTGAATACGCGAGTGGATGGGAAGAAAGGATTTTTTTGGCTAGCTTTGACTTTCAATAATTTGTTTGTAAAGGTGGGGTTTTCTTTGTATTTTTACAATTTTTTTGGAGAAGTCCTTCAGATTGTTGCGTTGTAACAAAAAGAGCCATATTTGGCCACTAGCAAAACGCATTTCATTACAATTTTGCATAGATTATCTCAATAGCCTAGTCAATACTTGATGATTATTTCAGCTCTTGGCTTGCAAGTTCAGCCGAGATATTTAACGATGTTTAAACACAGCAGTTGTTAAGTAAAATACCATAAAAAATCAATTACTTTTTGCATCTGTTGGCTTTAAAATTTCATCTGTTCCTGCAGAGCGCTATTTAGATTCCCTTTTAAAAATTTTTGAAATTAATTTATTGTTGTTACATCTCACACTTCCCAAATTACATCCAAAAAGTTTTCCAAAATTTGGACCATTTTTCCCCCCGATTTGAATGACTAAAGTACCGGCCAATCCGTTGCCACGGGTTTTCTTCTCCTCCTTTGTTTTGTACTCGCAAAATGCCCTTTGAAGAGTGACAGAGTACAATGTCTGTAACGAATTTCCGCGAGTTGTTTACCAGCAATTTCACTATTTTTTCGTCGTCGACTGGAATGTTCGGCGGGGTTTAAACTTTGGAGATCGATTTGTTCGTATTTTATTACCTTTGTCTTCTCATCGTTGTAAAAAAAGGTCCCACCACGAAAACATTTTTTATACATGGTAATTGGTGTTTGTCTTCGGATTATGTTTTTTGTATGTTGTCTTCAAAAAATTCGCAGAATTTCACCTGACTTCCCGCTCACACGAATTGTAACACCACTTGCTTTGGCAGTGTTATCGGTTATTACCAATTACATTTGGGCAGGTGAAAATAGTCAACTTTTAATTTCTTCGTTCTCCCCTTTCCGGGAGAAAAACTAAACATATCCTATAGGCTTGGTAAATTTAATCATATCCTACAAAACCTACTCGTACTCTGTTTGTTATACTATCATTTAAACCGTAGTGCTACTCTATAGTAACACTTATTTTTTACTTTTTTTATAACCATGTTGGCCATGGAAAATATACGTATTTGTTGGTTCAAATGTTTTCGAATACTGTTGCGTCCACCCCCAAACTACTTGCCGACTGGTAACTCAATTAAGGTCCGGCTTTCTATTTTTACCCCCACTCGCCGTAAATACATTTGGTCATGACGATGGTCGGTGTTATTGACAGGTTTTATCTGCCCCTTCAATAAGCCTTTATTTCCCCGAA